CTAGAAGTGGGCCTCATCCTCCCTGATTGGATCCACCTCGTCATCTCCAGCCTGATTCTGGCCTGCATATTTATACCTGCCTCTGGAAATTTCCACTACATGCATCTGACGAAGTGGGTCTTTGCCCCCGAAAGCTTATGCTCCAACACTTCAGTTAGTCTATAAGGTGCCACAGGACTCCTCGCCGCTTTTGCAGATTCAGACTAACACGGCTACCCCTCCGATACTTGATACTATCTACATGTTTTGTTAGTTTTTAAAGTGCTACCAGACTATTTGTTGTTTAAGTTTTTCCTGTTACAGACTAACTCAGCTACCCCTCAGAAGCTTTAAAACATATAGATGGTCTCATGAGCTTTCGTGGGCACAACCCACTTCTTCAGATGAACGGAGTGTTGGAAGTCCAGATCAAAGAATAAATAAGGGGGGGGGGGTGGAGAGAAGGGGGAAAAATTGATGGGGAGGAAGAAAAAAAAGACAGAGTAGATGAGCTTCGGAGGGATAGCCCAGTGAGTCTGTAACAGGAAAAGCTTAAAAAAACAACAATTTGTCTAGATAGCATCTCAAAGACTAAACAGTTACAAGAGGCTGATAAGAACCATTAGTTTGCACATGGAAAGGAAGATGATGAACACCAGATTGTACACAGACATCAAGAAACATTAGCACCATCATTGTTTGGTTGGTTGATAATGTGGGAGCCATCCGATCAATTCAAACCATTAGCATAAGAATTAAACTTATGAATGATATTAAGTTCCAATCCTTCTCTGTGTATTTGGCCTGTGGAATTGTTCTGAAACAAAACAGCGACATGGAGATCTAATAATGAGTGTCCAGGAAGATTAAAGTGTTCTCCAACAGATTTGTGTGTGTTGCCTTTTTGGATATCTGATTTGTGTCCATTAATTCTTTCCTGTGTAGAGACTGTCCTGTTTGGCCAATATACATGGCAGTGGGGCATTGCTGGCCTTTGATGGCATAGATCACTTTAGTAGATGTGCAGTTAAATGATCCTCTGATTTGACAGCTGATGTGGTTGGGTCCAGTGATGAAAACGCATGTGTAGATGTGTGGGCAGAGTTGGCACTACTGTTGATTGCAGGGATGGGTTCCTAGATGCTTATGATGTAGCTGTGTTGCGTGGTTACTGGAAATAATTTGTTTCAGGTTAGGGGGTTGTCTGTAAGCGAGAATTGGCCTTTTCCCCCAAGGCCTCTGAGAGTGAGGGGTAATTTTCCAGTATAGGTTGTAGATTTTTGATAATGTGTTGGAGGGGTTTAAGTTTTGGACCATAGGTTATTCCAAGTGGAATTCTGTTGTTTTCTCTTTTGGGCATGTCTTGAAGGAGTTCTTGTCTGGGTACTCTTCTGGCTCTGTCCATCGGTTTTTTCACTTCTCCAGGTGGGTATTTCAGTTTTAAGAATGCTCTATATTGATCCTGTAGGTTTTTGTGTGTGTCTGTGGAATTGGAGCAAATCCGGTTGTATCTTAGGGCTTATAGGTATAGTGAGTTGGGGTACCCTGAATTGGCCAGGCTAGCTAAACCTCTCTGCAGTGAACCCTTTGGCACTGTCATGCACTTAGGGTCATGTGCTTAAACCTCAGACACTCTCTCCTCCTAGACGTTTAAGGGAAGCGCAAGGAAAAACATCAAACCATGTCTGTCATTTTCCACTCAACAGAACAGTATTGAATGGGGTTTGGGTAGAGAACCATTTTTATTCTTGCAGAAAAGGTGGGGACAGGTACAGCTTGCTGGTGTTTTCTGGGCAGAAAGTGGTGGTGATTTAGGGATGTAAAATCCTGTTTAACTGGTTAAACGTGCACCTCACTAAACAGTTTAATTTAACTGTTCACAGTGCTTCACAGTATCAACATCTTGTTAATAGACTGTAGAGGGGTCAGCTGCCTCCTGGGTGGAGGTGATTCGGTGGTATCCTGCTCTAATTTCTCACCTCTTCCAGGTCCCTTAATAACTTGAAGTAATTACAACTTCTCCTCCTTGGCTTCCATGCATTGAGTCCTTACACATTGGCCCTCCAGAGCCCAGATCACTTTGATCACTCTCTCCCTTTACTTAGTGACACCCCAGAGCTAGGTTCCAGTTCAAACTCTCTCTGGCTTTACCTGACTGGAGCTCTGCCTTCTGCAGCCCTCTAGTCCCCAGCCCTTGAAGGCTGGATGCCTTCTCTCTGGGCAGGTCTGCTTGATTAAAGCTGCATGGCCTTGGGGCTCTGAAGGTGTTCAAAGCTTGGCTACTGCCTCTCTTGGAGCTGGAGTGGCTCTGTCAGTGGGGGAAGCTCTCCTGCTGGACCAGTTCCCTGTGTGCAGGGTGGTTGATGTCGCTGTATTGATGTCGCTTGAGGGGAGGAAGGTGGATTGTTCACAGCCCTGAGTGACCATGTAGGTAGCATGCAGTGTAGCCCTGACCTGTGTCTTACTGGGAAACTCCTGCTTACTGTGCAGCACCCTGTCACAGTTCCCTTTGAGTTCAGGGTCTCCCCTGCAGGAACCTCTCACACACTGCAGTCTCTCTGCCATTTCCTGAGCTTCTCCACCCTTCATTGCAGCTTTGCACTACAGTGGGGGTAGCAGTCCGCAAACTCACACCACACCCGTACCCCTCTGCAGCTCTCGTTAAATGTCATGCCAGGTACACCCTAATATGCTGCCGAGTCAGGGCTACTCCTGACCCCAAAAGCCTCAGACACCCTTCACAAGGATGGTGCTAACAAAATAATGGGGTGGGTATGGGGTCTATGTAGCGCTCCCTTCCTGGCCCCCATGGGGGCTGGCTCAGCTCCCAACTGCACCCCCCCGAATGTTCCTGCATGCCCCCCTGTAAGGGCACACCCCAGTTTGGGGACCTCTGTTTATAGGGCAGGGCTTCTGCTCTCTCCCGGTATGGCTTATCCTGTAATGAAATTTAGCAATCCCAGCCCTCAAGGAATGAGATGCCCTGTTACAGAGGGCTTGCTGGCTCATGGGGAATACTGACAAGCCCCCTATGCTGACCCCCTCCTTCCTTGCATGGAGGGCTACACCTGAAGCAAAAGTATCTCCATGTACTTTAATACACAAGAAAAAGGCCACAGGCCAGGACTAGTCGTATTTCGATGATATTGCTATACAGGAATGGGGCACGCATATCAGTATAGATCCAACTCCCTGTAACAGCTCCCCATCTGTGTGTGTGTCTGATAAACACTGCCTTCCAGATGCTTTGTGAGGCTGGGCTTTAATCTTAGTGATTTTCTCAGCTGTGCATTCTCTTGAGTGCTTTCCCCTGTGGCAGACACACTGCTGAGTGTGGGAATAGCACGATCACTTATTAAATCTTAGGATGAAAAGGGGAGGGGACTAATTAACATCTCTCAAAAACCGCATGTGTCTTGAAGTGCAGATGGCCTTGCAAAGATTATATTGAAAGACATGCCAATCGAGTTTCGCTACACCTGAGCCTCATTCCACTGTGTGGAAGTGCTAACGTTTTCTGAATTCCTCCTTTGGAGCAGACATCCCACTGACCTACAGATGGTGGAGCGCTGCACCTGGTCTACGATGGCCAGGTGTTCCTGTCAAAGAACACCATGCTGAAGGTTCCAGGGCAGCCCCCAAGGGACTTTAGCCTCTGTTACTGTGAGGCCCCACTACCTGGGCTGCTCTCACGATTTTGAGGGCTGGGTTTCCTCTGCATCGTTTTTAGAATGGGCAGGACTGGCTCAGAGCACAGAGCTGCTGCTGAGAAACCGCCCAACTGAAGAATAATCAATGCTTCTCCAGTATGTGGCTGTAGACTTGGCTGGTGCCCCCACCCATCATTTTGATAGCACCATCTCTGTGAAGGGTGTCTGAGGCCTTCTTTGGACTCAGGAGTAGTCCTGACTTGGCAGCACATAAGGGTGTAACTGGCGTGACACTAAATGTGACGGATCCTTTTCTGTGCTGGCTGCAAAGTCCTTGTGAGCAGCATGTTGGCAAACACAATGGGTCAGAACCCTGTGGGAATGTGGTAACGTGTCACAGTGCAGAGGAGGACAGGTGAGGGTCTGTACCAATTCAGTTGAGTTTTCCCCAGAGCACCCAGAGCTGTTCTGTAAGGGGTCGACCTGGCCTCAGTCCCAGAATGGGCCTCTGTACTGAGAATGTACAAACACTCCTGCAAAGGGTGGCAGACAGAGTGTACAGCTTGGCTTTTATTCCAAGCTCTTAGCCAACCCCTGCCATGGTGGACACTCATCCTTTCTTGTCAAGCCTTTTGTTCTCCATGGGTTCGGCTTGCACCATGGTGGAGTTTAGCCACATTCAGCCTTATATGAAGTAAGGCTAATGCAATAGTTTGCTTCAGGACAGACTACTGTGGCAACCTCAAAAGCTGTTCTACCGAAACCATGCACAGATTGCCAGCCCAAAGGCAAATATGGTTTTGCTTCCTCTTTCTAGAATAAGAACCTTAAAGGCGGGTATACTTTCAGTTGCTCTGTGGGTGTTCTAAGGGACAAGAGGTTTTGTTAGTTTTGCATATGGTTAGTCCTTAGAGTAAGAAATTGCATTGGTAGAAGACTGTTTAAACCATGTAAGACCTGCACTGGATTGCAACGTAGTAATTAAGTGGAGTGTTTCATCTCTCCCCAGGCTGGTACCAGGGTGGGTGTGCCAACAGCAGAGTGCATGTGGGATTGTTACCCCATGCAGATGCCAGTGACCTATGGCAGGTCTGAGGACTGCCAGACCCACCAAATATCAGATAAAAATTTGAGGCCTAATCCAAATCACACTAAAGCCAGCATCAGTCTTCCTTTACTGGGACTGGGTCTCTCACTACTCCCATATTGTGCAGCTGGTTTTGATGTGCTGGGTTAAGGGGACAGTTTTTCGTGTCGGTAGGCTTTTCTTCAGTTCCAGGCCCCTGTCCTTGTGTTTCTTCAAACCATAACAGAGAATTGTATGGGCCTTTTGGAATCTACAAACTCACTGTCTGTCATGGTCCTTTTCAGTTGGCGCACTGCGTGTGGAATTTTCCCAGTCTGTGAATCTTGAGGAAGTTGAGAAGATGAACCCTGAAGTGAGAGAAGGCGGCCGATATGCTCCAAAAGACTGTAAAGCACTTCAGAAAGTAGCAGTTATCATACCATTCAGGAACCGAGAGGAGCATCTGAAGTACTGGCTGTATTATCTCCATCCAATCCTTCAAAGGCAACAGCTTGACTATGGAATATATGTCATTAATCAGGTAAGGATTTTGGACATATGTACAGAAAAGGAATAACGGGGAATTCCTGTGCTAAGGTGCAGTTGGTTTATACTCAGCAATCAACTTGCTGGTTGAGAAGATTAATGCACAAAATGAAAGAGTGAAAAGTCAGGAACCATCACTGCATAATCTGCAAACAAATCCCAACACTCCCTATGGTTGTTTATATAGCTTTAGAAAAATGCTTCCCTATAGTAAACTGAGATTCTGCTTCTCAATTTAGGCAAACTTCATGACTAACTTCTACTTAAGTAATCACTCTGAGGAGACCTTTTGGTAATGCAGGCTAATCTTATTTCCACCAGGATACATTCATCACCATCTTGCACAGGACTTTCAGGCCTTGATTCCAAGGCCAGAAAGAATCATGAGATCCCTAGTCTGATCTCCTGTATGATGCAGGCCAAATACTCAGATAATCCCCATTAACAGCAATAGGAACTAGGAATTAAAATTCCATGTAATTAGTTAACTAGTTAAATGTTAAGTTTAAATTGGTAATTGATTAAAGTGGATGCGTGGGGGAGCCATTCCAGCCTGCTGGGCTACAGCCTGCCCCCCTCACCCCATCATGGCTGGGCTGGAGGGGATCCCATGCCGTGGGCAGGGGCTGCTGCAGCTTGTCTGCTCCTCGTGAGGCTGCTGGCTTCCAGCTCCCATGGGCAGCCTCACCGGGGCAAGGCGGGTGGAGGAGAAGCTGCTGGCTCCCAGCATGCATGAGTTTGTGCTCTGCCCCCAACCCTCTGCAAGGCTTCCAGCCCAGCATGAGGCTGCCAACTCTCAGCCCACATGAGCTGGGAGCCAGCAACCTTCCACCCTCAGCAGGCTGTGGGCAGGGACCTGCTCCTGGGTAATGGTTAACCATTGCCTGTTCACATCCCTAATAGGAACAATGAACTAAGTGTTCTGTAGAGCATAAATCTCTGATAGATGTAGACAAGTACATCTCCATTTCAAGTAAATAGAATACAAAAAATGACTGCCCTTTTCCAGTATATTTGCCTTTTAGCCCTCCCTGTGACCCTCTCCCAAAAACATGACGGGGTTGAGCATATGCCATGATTGGGGGGGGGGGGGGGGGGGGGGGGGGGATGAGAAGCTTACAAAATTAAGAAAACTGCATTAGTTGTGATGAAAAGGCAACTGTCTCTCTCTGAATATCTGGCACATTATCATTAACACCGCATCTCTTACCTCGTTTTGGATCTGCATCTGTTGCAGTGCTGAAAGGCAGCACACTCCCTGCAGCATAATTATTTCTAGAGTGAAGAAGAGAGACAAGGTGCACAAGATGAGAAGCTTACAAAATTAAGAAAACTGCATTAGTTGTGATGAAAAGGCAACTGTCTCTCTCTGAATATCTGGCACATTATCATTAACACCGCATCTCTTACCTCGTTTTGGATCTGCATCTGTTGCAGTGCTGAAAGGCAGCACACTCCCTGCAGCATAATTATTTCTAGAGTGAAGAAGAGAGACAAGGTGCACAAGGTAATATCTTTTATTGGATCAGCGTTACCTCATACACCTTCTCTCCCTAATCCTGGGACTGACATGGCTACAACAACACTGCCTAAAGCAAAGGATAATATCTACAGTGAAGATGATTGGTGTGTTCAGGTACAACCAGAAGCTTTGAACAGTTCAAGCCACAGAAAATGGAAAAATGGTAAATACAGGAGGCCCCCCCAAGTTCCGACCCCCTGCACTTCCAACCATTTTTGTAAGTGCGGAAGGGGCCGGAACCCCCCGACTTATGTCCTTGGCCCACATTTATGATAGTGCATGGTGCCTATCATAAATGGAGGTTCGAGTTATGATGCCCCCAACTTGCAACGCTTTCCCCAGAACCAATCGCATTGCAAGTCGGGGCCTCCTGTACTGACCTAAGGAATGCTAATACTTACCTTCTGTGTGTGATGTGACTTGGTTCATGTTTCTGTCATGGCAGAGTTTTCTATTTACAGATTGTGTAATTGCAAATAGCAGATTATTTTAACTTGGATTATAATGAACTGTCATTAATCCCCCTCAAATCATTTTTGTATATGTGTAACATGCTTCTATATCGCACCATACTGATGACTTGAGTCAGCTTTTGTACAACTGGTAATAACAAGCTTAACTAATAACACTAAACCTTACCTCTGGAGTTGCTCTGCAGACACTCTTTGTAGTAAAGCGCTTTGTAGTAAAGCACTCTTTGGAGACACTTTGGAATACAACTCTCCAGACTGAGCCATGCAAGACAACACCCCTCTCACAAATGGTGGCATAAGCACCCAGCCATTCCTAGCTCATGAAGACAGTATTTTGTTGCCCTAATGACCCACTACATACATGCATATATTTTGTTTGCCTATATAATGATACTAGTTTCTGGGAAAATCCCCATTGAAAACACATCCCTGGAAAGAAACTGGATGCCTGAGCATTCTGTATTTTCATCAGCCAAAATGCTCCTCTCTCCCAGCATGCAGGTTACATAAGTTGGGTACTTTTGTATAACTTGGAAAGTCGTAAGTTACTGGTACGTGGCCGTTTCAAGTAAGTGGTTACTGGTTGCTCTAAGCTTCCTGTGTTAGAGTGTACAATAACTTGTTTAACATATGGCCTTTCAGTCCTATCATTGGGGTTTACTCATATGATTTTTCTGATGCCTTTGAAAAATGACTTGTATCTTGGGCTAGTTGCAAATATCCACATCAGCTGGGGCTAATTTCCTGTGGTTTGTGTTCCTGACAAAAAAAGCGAGCACTGCCTGCTCGTGGGGACTGAACAATGACCATAAAGCACTTGGCATATGCTCTAAAATTAACCTGCACCAAAATAGTTGGTCTTTTAAAATATGCCCACTTGGCAAAGGGTGAAACAGACGTGGTGCTAATATACTGAGTATACGGACCCTGGAGAGAGACAGTGAATGCTTCTGCAGTGATCTTTATGCCACTAGGGCAGTGATTCGCTGTAGCAACTGACCTAATTTGCAGCTAAAATGTTCACCTTCTCTTGTGCTGAAGTTAACTGAGACCAAGTCTAAATGTGTTCTGTGCTTCTCTGATGTGTTACATCCGTAACCTAGAGAACTGTTGGTGGCACTAAGCCAGCCATCACTCCCTATGGGGGTAAGAGGAAAGCTGCATTGGGGGTGGTGAGAGAAATGTGGGTGCTTTAGTGGAACTAGAGGAGGAAAACGTTCTTATTTCTCTGCTGTCTTGACAATTGCTTTTCTCTTTTTCTTGTCTGTCCTTCCCTTTGCATCCATCCTTCCTTTTTGTTTTCTTTTTTTCCTTCTAGTGGGGAAATTTTACCTTTACTTGTTAATCGTGTCTATAGCAAAGCAGTCACTGAAGCAAGGAAAATTACTGTGTGATCTGATTCTTGCGCCCTGCCTACGTGCTCTTCTGTTCTCTACATCTCATAGAAAGAAAGAGGAGCGCTGACCCTTACTGCTGCTGCACTGGTAATGTCAAACTACTTCCTTTCAGTGCAATGCAATTCAGGCATGAATCCATTGCATCTTCATCGTTCAATTCTTGGCTGTTTGAAATGCACCACAGTAATACTGGACTGACGTCAGGAAAAGGGTATTTGTAAAATGTCTGGGGTGTAACCGGAGCCAGTGAAAAATTTGAATGGGGAGGAGGAATGCAGAGCAGCAATTATATGTTTTTGGTTTTATTTAATCCAAATTCTTCCTAATATAAATGGATACATTTCTGACAGTCCCAGTTAATGAGGCAGTAACCTACTGTCAGTGGAACAAATATGATCAACACACTTATGAAACTTACCTTTGGGCTGTTCACCTCAGTGAAGTGTTAATTGAATTTGGGCCAGTAATATGCCAACAGCTATTAAAATAGGTAATCTAAGAAATAAACCTGTTGATGTGCTTTGGCTGTGAGAGATGGTACAGCGAGCAATTGATTAGGAGAACGGAAGATAGCAAGACCTGCCTAATGTTTTGCATCTGCACATAGCAGTTATGCCATCTCATCTACAGGCACTGGTCATGATGTATTACGACACCTGAGATGAGCCCTTCAGGTCAGGTCTGCCTGACCCAGTTCAGTCAACAACAGGAGTCACAAATGTTGCTGGTCCTCCAAACTACACCCCACAGTGCCGTAACTCATGTTAGAAAGCCCCTGTTGCAATACAGGATAGGCACTCCAGGTGCTGTAGACTGCATCAATCCACTAGTGTTTGTGAAGCCTGTGATTAAGATGACCAGCTGTTCCATGTAACCTCATGGAAGCATTTCCTCCTTTGGTGCCACATTCCTGGGAACTGGGCAGTCGCTTAGCGCCTCAGCCACTGAGCCAGCCTTCTTCTAGAGACCTCACTTGGCTTGGCTGCTGGATATAACTACATCCACAATGACCCTTTACTGAGCTAACACACGTGTCCTGACACATGCACTTACTGAGGTTTTTAAAAAGAGGGTTATCTTTCTGCAACCTGGCTATGCAAGTGTTTGTATGTCTCACCTTATGTTGCTAAAGTGGGTAAAGGGATTGGGGAGGATTGGAAAATGACCTGCAAATTTCACAGTTGTTTTTCCAGCCAATTCCCACTGGCCCTGGCTGTCTCCTGTGTAGTATCTGACTGTGCAAGTGTGTGGGCATTGTGTTTTACATGTCATATTGCAAGGCAGGATGGAGCTGCTGAGCTGTATTTTACGAAGAATAAAAAGCAGTGCTGCCTCAGTTTGCTGGGCAGTTTGCTGGGTGTCTATGATTAAGGCTTAGCATTGAGCAGCGACAAGTGCTGCTGCAAAAAGGAGCTTTCTGTTATCTCCTGTGGGTACCACACAGAAAAATAACAGGACTCTCCTGAGAGAAGGCTGCTCAGACCAGCGTTGGCCTGCAGTTGAGAACAGTGGCAATGCTCACCTAAGAGTGTGTGAGAAGGTAATTGCATGAGGCACTCTCAACAGTTGGTTATTCCAATTAACTGAGTTTATCTTCTTACTT